CCATGAATTTGCCATCAAGCCAGATTTTGAGGAGGGGCTCAAAGTCCTCAAGAAACTTCTCGATGAAGCCCGAACGAAGATGAACAAGGAACATCGGAAAGTCGCTGATGACCTCAACGTCGAGGCGGACAAGAAGCTCTTCCTCGAGAATAACAAAGGTCATGGCTTCTGCTTCAGATTAACACGCGCGGAAGCCAGCATAATCCGTAACAAAAAGCCTTACATGGAGTTAGCCACACAGAAGAACGGTGTCTTTTTTACCACCCCCACACTCTCTGCGCTGAAGAGGGATTTTGATCAGTTGACACAAAACTACAACCGTACACAGTCCGGCCTCGTTCGGGAGGTGCTGAAAATTGCAGCAGGATACACGCCTGTAATCGAACATCTCGCCAGTGTGCTTTCACACATGGACGTAATTATCTCCCTCGCACATGCCGCAGTACATGCTCCCGTGCCGTATGTGCGGCCGAAGATCCATCCTCGTGAGGACGCAACCGGCATTACAGAGCTCAAAGAGGCGAGACATCCATGCATGGAAGCGCAGAGCGAAATCACATTCATTGCGAACGATTTTTACATGAGCCGCCGACAAGAGACTGGAGAGGATGACAACCAGAGTAATGAGGGTAACCCCCCTTCATTCCTCCTCATCACCGGTCCCAACATGGGCGGCAAATCAACCTATATCCGCACACTGGGCGTAATATCCCTCCTCGCCCAAGTAGGCAGCTTCGTTCCCTGCACCTCTGCAACGCTCTGTATCCATGATAGCATCCTTGCACGTGTCGGTGCATCCGATAGCCAGCTGCACGGTGTCAGCACATTTATGGCGGAGATGTTAGAGACCGCCAACATCCTCAAGAGTGCCACGCGCGAGTCGCTTGTCATCATCGACGAGCTTGGCAGGGGCACAAGTACCTATGACGGGTTTGGTCTCGCCTGGGCCATTAGCGAGTATCTCCTTACGGAGACGAAGTGTCTGACGCTATTCGCAACACACTTTCACGAATTAGCCGCCTTGCGGGACAAGTTTCCCCAGGTAGGAAACCTGAGGGTCGTGGCGCACTTTGACAACGATAACGAGGATGTGACGCTGCTATACAAGGTGGAAGAAGGCGTGAGCGAGAAGTCGTTTGGCATAAATGTTGCGGAGCTGGTGAAGTTTCCCAAAAAGGTGGTCAACATGGCCAAGTGGCGAGCGGGCGAGCTTGAGAATTTCGCGTCATCGACCTCTGCGGGGGCGGAGGTGGCTGCGGATGAGAAGGAGGTGGAAGAGGGGTGTAGATTGCTCAAAGAGATTTTGGTAAAGTGGAAGGAAGATAACGCTGGAGCTGCAGTGGATGAGAAGCTGCAGGTCGAGAAACTGAGGGAATTGATCAAGGGTAATGAGGAGTTGATGGGTAATAAGTTCTTTGAGAGGGTTAGGTTGGAGCTGTAGAGTAATAGCAGGCCATTGTACTATGATACATTCGGAGCATATTCATATAAAATCACCCCCCATCTTATGGTTCTACTTTTAAATGGCCCTGCGTGAGCTCATTCGCAGATGACTGACTCGATCGCAGCTGCCAAATTAGGATGAGTCGTCGAACCGCCACCAAAATTACGACATATGGTACTACGGGGAAGGATAGTGTCCCTCTTGTTCAACAACGAGGGCCAGCTTGAAAATTCATGAATACCAGTGAAGCTTGATATTCTGTCCGCTCTCGCAGCAAACATCGCCAAATTCTCGAGTGTACTTGCAAAATTCCCACAAATCACAGTTTCATCTCGATGGAACTTCAGGAGTGCGAATAGCGTGAAGCAAGCGATGTGCAAAGCGGCAAAAACGCTAGGCAAGGCAACTGCTCATTATCCGGTTACTGTCAGGAGTCTACATCTATATTCTGTAGCGATAGTACTCTCGTGGATGGGACTGCGTAAACGGCCCGAGCTAGGAGGACGTAGCGATAGACGGAGATCAACGACAGGGACAGGAACGATGCAGGTGGGTAGGAGTCAACACCAGTGTCTATGTGACAGTGTGAATGACCATGTATCTCTACGAGGGAACGTCAAAATAGATCTTCTGTACCGGTGGACCGGTGACATCACGCCGTACACTAGCAGGGCGCATTCGCCATGTCACATATGACATGACCGAACCTGACTGACCCAGGGACCAGATACTCCAAGTAAATTTCTGTTCATTCGCCAATAATACCGAGTCCCACAGACCACCGCACTTGTAAAAAGTACTGCTAGACACTACAGGATTTAATTCCAACTGGCAGCCTTCAAACAACACCTCTCGCAATAATAATTGAGAATTTGCGACCACAATTTGAGAAGACATAGAGGCCAAAGTTGTCACAAACGACGAGACCTTCAAATATGATAATCAAATCTTCATTTGGAATATGTATACATGGTCTTGTGGTCTAGCGGTATGACATCTTCTTAGCACTTGGTTTGGAGAAGGTTCTGTGTTCGACTCACAGCTAGTCCATTACTGCCTCTTTTTGCCTCTTCCAATTTGAAATTGAACTCGTGATGTAATAGGCCATATATATAAAACCTACTATAGCTACACGTTGTGTCCAAGTATATGGTTCCTCTTCGAACGGCCACACGTGAATCCCTCCGCATATGACTGGCAGCAAGTACTGTTAAGAAAGTAAGTGGGTATAAATAGTGGGGCATTCAGGTGCCTTTTCCAAGCATCGCAGATCAATCCGACCCCGAGATCACGCGGAATTGCTGATGTAATCCAGATTGACCTTCCTCAAATAGCAACTTTCAGTGACTCACAAGGTGGGACCGGCCCTTGATCCCTGGGATTGATGCCTTAAAACACCACTATTTATTCCCATTCACATTCTTAACAGCCAGTCACTAGCTTGTTAACTGGTGTCAATGATGACTGTTACATCGAAGCATGTTGTGTTATGGACCTGTCATTTTAAATTTGTCTTTCTCGTGTCACCTCAAGCCAACCGAGAACTTCGAACTAGCCAGCAATGGACCCATCACTGATGACGTCACCAAATGAACTATTTTTTCACATAGCAGTCTTGCTGGAGTCAACAAGCGTTGTTGCAATGTTGCAGACTAGTGCTCTACCGCTCAGTCTCGTTCAGCGATCTCATGCAACTCCAGGCCATTTTGAAGGCTCTCCGAGTCTGTCCTACTCGCAAACATTATATCAGGTCAATTTCGGTACCATTTCACCTGGATTCATTTGAGACCGTACTCAATACAAAGTTATCACTTTCACAGGCGCCGAAACTGACGGAGCTCACTATCAGAAGCCCATATTACTGTATGGAAGATGAACCCGAGGTCGACTTCCCTCCATTTTATAAGGGGACAGTCCTCAGTCAATGGCTCTTCACTCTAAATGAACTCATTGGCCCAGAACCAAACCCTGATTGGCAGGTGTCGTCTACTCTCAATGCCCTCAATCTGCATCTGATCAGGCTGGCCTCCCCTATGGACAATCCAGTCGTGATTGGCAGATTATCTGCTATATTTGCGCTTCCAACTCTACAACATTTTAAAATTCCCGGCGCTGCTTTCCTAGCCCATAGCTGCCTCGATGTTGCGGTTGCTAAGACGCCACTGAAGCATCTAAGGCTGGGGGAGGTAATCATTGGTGACGATGCACTTAAAGCTATTATAAAATACCCAGCGGCTCATGAGCCCTTGGTGCCAGGTATGCGAACCAACGTTTGTCTCTCAACGGAAGCTAACAGGGAAACAGTCGAAAACAATTACAATGATTCAATAGTCCTATCCATGTTGCACACCAACAACCTTCTTTGGGGCGATGCCAATCGATTTTTCGACTCCCTAGCCGAAAAAATAAACCTTGTTGAAATCGTTGAACCAATATGCGCAAAGGTTGACGGGCTTTTCAAGGACCTCGTCGACTGTGCACAACCTCAAGGATTTTACTGCGCCTGAGGACTTCCGATTGACGGCCGAATACGGGGTTCTAGACACCATGTTCCTACACGGCGTTGTGCCACCCCCAAAGTTGAAGCACGTGGTTCTCCGCGGAAGAGCCGAAAGATCGTTATTACACAACAGCGACAATCAATTTGGCAGCATATGGATGCCTTTGAAGCCCAATATTTTGACCGCTCTCGGATCAAAAATCCCCACGCTTTCAAGTGTTGTTGCGAATATTTCAAACGAAGCGCAATTCACACTCCTTGAATCTCCCTCGATTGGCATCAGAGTTAGTGAAGCCATACGCAGCGCCGCAAAAACGTTTAGGCAATGCAAGCACTTATTGTTCATCTACTGGCTGAAAACAGATGGTATGTGCGAATGAGAACGATGGATGGAGAGTAGAGATGTGTGTACAAGTGAATACAAGTGTATTTACGAGGGGACATCAGAGAATATATCCTGGGCTGGAAGGCCCGTGCGTAGCCTCGTACGAGTCATTAATCGTATGACCGGAAGCAAATGGCCAAACATGCAGTAAGAACGTCAGCATGCAGTCTTAATCCATGACTCACCTCAAACGGTAGCAGGGCGCATCCACCATGTCGCATGCGACATGACCCGAGGGAAACCTCTGTGAGGACCAAACCTAGGGTGCAGCTGCTGGTGTAAGCGGTGTCGCGTATTGGCGTCGTACACTCATAGCAACGAGACTTAATGCCAACACTGTCATGGGCCTGAGTTAAGTTGCTCGCTGGAGGGTTTGGATGACATGACCTCTTTTGGTGTCCGTCTCTTCACTCAAAAAGCAGGTGCTGCTGGACCCAGTTATGACGACCTCAATTTTCTACCAGGCACTCGATCTCCTGCTACCTTTCGCTACCAGTACTAGCGGGAAATCCTTGGATCAAGTAGCATTATAGGACTAGCGTCAAGCCTACTTTGGTATGAGAATTTCACGACCCAAAATATGTAAGTCCATGTCAAATCGGTCTCCGCCTCCTTGTGCCACGGGCACCATTCATACAATTGCAAACCAAATCTGACAACAAAAAAGGAGATGGACTAGCTGTGAGTCGAACACAGAACCTTCTCCAAACCAAGTGCTAAGAAGATGTCATACCGCTAGACCACAAGCCCAATATATGTACCTTTTCTGGCTGCTCAAAGTATATACCTAAGACATTCACCTTTTCTGCAGTTCCCCCGAAGCTGCGGCCAGCGCAAGCAGACACCCACACCCTTGCACACAGAGTTTCCCTTGTGTAAATCCTCCCAGGTGAGTTTTGGGCGCTCCATCGAGGGTCAGGTGTGATAGGTACGATGAATCGTTCTGTCCGGGGCAGAATGACAAGATTAAATGATCACCGGGGTCAAAATCGGATGGCATGAAATTTACAAGATCCGGTTAAGGAAGGAGGCTCCAGTGGTTCCGTAGTGACAATGGAGGAAGGAGGCGAGTAATAGGCCCGGGTGTTGGTTTAATGATGAGTCGTTTGGGGGCCTATATGGAAGGATGGGTTGATGGGAAATCAGAGCAAAGCAAAGAGAAGACAATTTGAGGCGTGGTTTGCTGTGGCATAGATATGGATGGTTTGGTGTGCAAGGATGAGTATCTTTCTCAATAAGTGAGTCGTTGTGTGTATGTGCGCGCGCCTCGGAAGATCTTTTGCTATAGCGCAGGCCATCTGCACGAAGAAAATGAAGGCTGGTGATGATAATGGTAATGATACAGTCCAACTTGGATATAGCGGATTGATCGGGCACAAGAACTTCGTCTGTTATGTCCAGGCAGCTACGAAATGTCATCTGAATTATGGTGCCACGGTCAGGGGGTATTTTTGAAATGGCAATACTCGACAAAACTCTTGTGAAACTCTTACCAACAAGTTCTACATTGTGTACTTCTTGTTGGGGGTGGATGGCCGACTAGTATGGTGATGCGGAAGGTCACTCTTCTGTCATCGCTGGACTGATGGTAATGGAGCAGCGGAGTCCTTCTCCTCCACGCGTTGCCCGAAAGTGTATTCTAATAAGATGTTCCGTATATTCCAACCGTCGTAAAGGAACAAAGATTTCAGTCGGGGCATATGATTGTGCAACAATTTCTCGACCTTGGCCACCCACTTGCCCAGGCGTTCGAATTTATCGAAGCTGTTGCGTCGTCAGCTTCCAAACCACGTCCATCACCGAGCCCATGTGTACTTACTTGCCAGGAAGCGCTTCATTCAGTTTCAACAATTTGAGACACGGAAAAAGGGGTGGTGACGTGAGCGGCAGGGCGCGAAGGTCGAAACGCGCATTCATCATAAGATTGACCAATTTGGGGCAAGATTCGCCCATCGCAATAAACTTTGCAAGGCTGAGAGCGATTGGGCCATCATTCTTTAAATGAAAATTCCTTAAATTAGGCATGCAAGCAAAGAGGTCGATGAAGTGTTCGTCGTTCAAGCCGTCGATATTGATCATCGTTGAAAGCGATGGAAGAAGTCTAAGTTCCTCCAATGACTTCAATTGCTTAAGACTTTAAAGTCTCGCGATTCGATTCTTGGCTCAGAATCATGGACGAAGGTTATGTATAAACTGCGCAGGGACGCAGCCTTGCTAAGGCCATACAAGCTATTCCCTGTTGGAAGATAGTTGTTGCGTAGCGTAATCGATCTGAAGATTAAGTTTTAACAAAGTTATGTTTTCTAATATTCAACAGCGAGCTTATATACAAGTAGCTTCTTTGTTCAGACAGTTTCATATATCACTCCATCGCCCCACTGTCCTCTTTATTATGCTCTTCGAGCATTTTGCCATACAGGATTTTTCTTTTGTGTAGCCTTTATTATCGGGTCAAGGTATGGCACTGATACTTCTCAACAACATTCCCAGAGTCTGAGAAAGTGATGTTAAGTGCAAGGGTATGCAGATAATCTCCTACGATACTGGGAAGAAGTGGCACTGAAGCTGCGCTGAGGTATAGGTACAGCTCCTGGAGATTAGAGAAGGCGGTGACGCTTTTTGAAGCCAGCTTCTGCAACCATTCGAAGCTAACGAAGCAATCACATGCAAAAAAGGCTTGCAGACATTGATGCTGAATTGCATGGCCCACGCTAGCGCCGGGTTGAACTTGAGAAAATCCCAGTTCTACGAGCATAGGAAGCTGTTCAATTAGACTTATTAGCCCAGCAACTGTCATTGACTTTGGTGGAGCCACAAGGTACAACAGTCTTAGTTGGGGGCACCGGGTTGGGATGAGGATAGCTAGAACCTCCCTTTCTTCAAAATTTTATTCATTTAGGCCTAGCTCACGCATATTCGACTGGAGGAATTGGGAGATGGACAGTTTTTCTTGGTAACTTGGGTTTCTAAAGCAAACCAACCTCCTGAGTCGTGGGAAGGATAGACCTTTTATTCTTCCTTGGTATTTGCATTCGTGCAAGTCTCCAATGATATATAAGCGTTGAACCATCTTTGCATAGTACTGCCTCTGGTCGATAGAGGCGATCCCGCACAGAAAGTGTGGCTTCACAGATTTCCAGATGAATTCATTGCTAGCATCTGCCAATTCCTTGCAGACCAGAGCGAGGTTGAGCAAAGTTTTATATTCACTCGCGAGACAACGCGGTATCATCAACACGATCTCAGTTGGGACGTGTATCTTCTTGTTGATGAGCATGGTGTTGAATGGAAGAGATGTCCGTAAAAGCCAAGGTACAAGCGCGGAATTGAACTACACCTCGAAAGCCGCCAACGCTGAAACAAGACAGCACAACACTGGAACATCATATAAACTTATTAGTCACTGCTAGTGATAGCCAATACCGTAGAGATTGACTACACAGCCAACCCCCCGGCATGATGCTGCGTCATGCGGGGTAGGTTGCGTGACGCAGCATCATGCGGCAACTAATCTCGACATGTCGCAAACATATCAAGGCTATTGGCAAGTCAAGCACATACACATAAATATCAAAAGAGAACACGGCCGTTTTGCCATAAGTACAGTCTTAACTGGAAAAATCAGATAATACTAAATCCCCTTACAAATCTCTTGCATATTTTAATCTCAGATAGCCCAGCAGGGTCAATTATCATGCGTTAGCATGTGGATGTTTTCGATCCAGCGATTGCCATACGCGCCGTCTGTGGAGTGCCTCCAAGCAAACCCTTCAACGATTTTCCGTTCTCTTCTGGTTGCGTTAGGCACCCAAACTTTTCGGCAATCCACAGTGCAGAAGTGTTGCACGTTTAGGACATTGGAGATCGAGCCCACGGGCACTGTTGTGAATCGCTCACGAGAGGCCAAGAGAGGAAACCCAAAGGTGCCATGCTGGTCTTCCAATGTGGTTGTACAAAATTCCTTAAGAAGGGCGACATGATGGGCTGTGCCCAGCTGTTTCAAGAGATATCTGAGCCGGAAAATAGTCTGACCACCACATTTGACAAACGACCCAACACTGGATTTGACAGGTGCAAGCAAGCGGGTAAATGCCTTGTACGAGTTTTGGGACCAGCCCAAGCCAAACTTCGTAAAAAGCCCATCATGAGCTGGCAAATCCCCTGGAGGCAATCGTTTGCTCATCGTGTGGGTGGGTGCAGCCAGTTCAACGGGAAGGCCCAGCAGACGTCGCATCCTCGGCTGATTGAGAGCCTAGATGCACTTCTTCCCGGCCTGTGTCATATGTGTGCCATCATGACACCACCAACCCCGGTTGACAAGATAAATTTGAGCCGCTCGAATTGACGCATGACCAGCGGCATCAAAGGAATTTGCTTGATGGTTTGAGTGCCGTACGTAACCCCGCAGGTGCCGATTGAGCGACTCTGGGATCTCCGAGGATGTTCCTTGCGGTGGGCCAAATCTGCGCACCATTTCAGGCACATGGACAAGCATATGAAGCTTTGTTTTGTTTCTGATGCTGTCCAGACCCCAGACGTCGGTCCATAGCTGAAGCATACGTTCGTAACGATGCTTGAATAGTGCTTCCCACAGGTTAATGTCTTCGATCTGCCTAGAATATATCATCCTGGCAAGATCGGCTGCGACGCACCACAGCAGCAGGAGCCTACGGACCGACCTGTCCGTCCCCTTGAGGAATAGAAGGAGACCAAAGTTGCCAGCCAGATCTCAATCAAAGCCGGATAATCCGAAACCACAAAGGACTTGCTCCAAAGCAGGATCTGTTGCGCGTCTAAAAAACTGTTCATACCATCCAGGCTTGATGAGGCTACGCAGAGGGCCAACTCCTCAAAGTCTGACTTGATCGTCGGGTCATACAACGACTGGTGCCAGAGGCTTCTGACAAACCCCAGTGGCACACCATGCAATATTTCAAATGGGATATCCTGGTGCGGATCAAATCCTTCCAAGTGGTATAGTGAGGAGATTGGTGGCTTGATGCCATTCTCAGTTCTCTCAAGTGCCCGAGAGTACTTTTTGGATCTGGGTGCTGCCGCCGAAGCCACATCTTGCCACGACGTAACACTTGCTTTGTTGAACAAGCAATTCCGGCAAGAGCAGTTACACGTGTGCTGATGGGAGATCACACCAGAATCTGCAGGAATATCTGCGAGAGCCATGGTAACCCCTCCAAAGACGACCTGCGCTCTCTTACGCCGAGGATCAAAAGCTTTGATTCCCCGTTGGAGCCGGACGAACTCAGGAGTGAGGCTATCAATCATGGTATTGCCCTTCATCCTTGCCCCAACAGCCACGAAATGGTTGGCGGAGGTATGGAAATATTCCTTGAAAGCCATTAGTGACCGTACCGCATTGGTTGCGAATGCAGGATAGTACTCACTACACGTGGCTTCCCGGAAAAGGTAAGTGACCAAACCTCCAGAGGGTTCCATTTGGAAGTGGTTGTGGCGCTTGTGCCATCCGTCCAGAAATTGATGTTGAATTGGGAGACTTCAGCTCCATATTTCGTTACAAAGGCTCGAGCAGGATGTGGTTTCGTTATGAATTCCACGAACCCCGGAGCAAGGCGTTCCGCATCTTGCTGCGTCACATCCTACATCATGGCACGTGATGTACACGATCTCGCTACATGACGTGAAAAGAGTGAGAAAATGATGTGACATGACGCGAGAGGGTTGGCAGTGTATACATGTCCCTTTTGGTGGGTAGCGTCTGGTATAAATTAACT